CCCAGGAAAATGACAACCCTATTTCAAATATAAATGATAGTGATTCGTCTGAGGAGTATATTATACATAATCAAAATCAAGATGATCTACAACACGATGATGAAAAGATGAAATAAATGATGACTTGGAAAATTTAATAAATGATCTAAGAAAATCATTTAAGCTGATTTGTGTGCGTTGTTGTGCCCATACAATTTAATTAGGGGTTAATGATTTTATAAAAAAATTTATTAAGGAGGACCTAGATGAAATAAAATCGATTCTTAAATTATTTAAATCACAAAATATAAAAATTTCAACGGTTTTAACCATATTAGCACCATTGTCAACTGTTATACTGTATATTTGGCTCAAACATATATCATACTGTTTTAATAAATTATCTATTTCTTCCTTTAAATTAGACGCCGTGTGCGCCTTTACAATTTCTAACATACCCAAAGTTCGAATTTCGATCTTATCATCCATAATAAATTGGGCATTAACCCCCAACACTGATTTTTGAAATCTTGTGGCAGTATCTATCTTCAAAGAAATGAGCTTATTTTTTAGTTGTTGCATTATCTGGCATCTTATTTCTGACGCAGCATATTTTATTTTATCAATTACGATATGTTTGTTTATAGTCATATTCAACGATTGGACTATTGGATCTAATAATAGCCTGAATGATTCATATGTTACTAAATTAATTGGCAAGTTGTTAATGGCAATTAATCCCACAACCGATTCGTTAACCTAATTTATTTTTTAAAAAAATAATAAGATATTTAAAATTAATAATTATTTTAGAACCCTGCAAAATTCAACTTTCAGGTCAAATCAGATTCAAAAAATACCTTTTATATTTTAATTGGGATTCAATCAGATTTTTTTTACTCTGAACGTAATCTATCACGAAAAAAACAAAAATAAACAAATAATGGCGACGTGCCGAAACAAAAACTATAGGAATACTAAACATCCGGTTTTCGCCATTATTTAGTGCTTAATTAGTATATTTAAATTCCGTAATTTATTTTGTTAACCGTCATATGAAAAAATTGTAAGACGCTAAAGAAATTTTTAGGGGTCATATATTTTGATGCAATCTACAACTCCCGATAATGCTGTCGGCGAACCAGTCTAGTTATAAATATTTAGAAATGAGAAGGGGAGGAGTAAAAAATAAATATAATAATATAATATTGAATCCGCAAGATGGCGTTTATTGTTAAATATTTATAATAGCAACAAACAACTAATAAACTTTGGATCCATTTTGAAAAATTAAACATTATTATTATTATAGTAATTATTAATTATATACTTTCATATCAAAAATCATAAAATTTAGATAATGAATTTATTTTACTTTGGTAAAATAAATTAAAATAATTTAAAATTAAAAATAATAATAATATTGTACTGATAAATAAAATTAAAATACTGGGAGAAAATATATATCTGTTATTGGGATATGGAATCGTGGGATTTTAAATCTTTGAGCCTAATTCTATTTAATATAATAGGGTTCGGGCCTAATATTTTTATTTAAATATATCTAAATTTATCAATTTTATATTGAATTTTTTATGTAAAATAAAAATATTTGATTTTATCTATTGAAACTAAAAGACATATAACATATGTCGTTTATTTTGAGTAATTATAAAAATTAATTTCTATATTTAAACAAAAAATTCGGGCCGGGCCGGGCTTGAAAAATTCGATACTAATTTCTACCCTTTGTAAAATTTCAGCAAATTTCCTCTATAAACCGTTAGAACCATATTTTCCGTTTATTTTTTTTTCCAAATATTATATTTAATAGAACTATAAACTGTTTCAGCACAATATGATGAACACAATATTTTTCGCAAAAGCATTTTCGCCAAACTTGTATTTTGGAAAATCCTCCAAAGATTAATAATATTTTAGGTAACTAGTGGCAGGATAAAAATATCTGAAGCAAGGCGTAACAACAAGATATTGATACGAGAATGGAATACAAAGGCATAAGATGCTATAAGACTTTTTTTTTGTTCTTTTACAATCTCGTTGAAAAGAACTGAAAAAAATGGTATCCATTGGGAAAGAATAGGTTTAACAAAAACACTGACAGATTATTTGGAGCCGTATAAAAATGAAACTAATCTTCTTGAAGAGAGAATTGAGGCCTACATACAGAAAGTTCTTTTATGGTATGAAAATTTAATATTTTGGGATTTATGCATATTATTATCTTTATTTATATAAAAATTAAAAAAATTAGGTGTAATCATCATCTTCTACATGAGCATAATCAAATAAATAATGGATAAATGGAGAGAAAAACGAATTGCGAGAAATCCATATGCTCCATAAAATTTCAACATTTTTAAAATACCAGGGTTCTGACAAATGAGGATGGTTTTCGTTGGAAGATAACTAATGAAGCCAAAAAAAACATACTGAAAACAATGTTGGATTTGATTTGCAATAGAATATTATAACATCGACGTGGAAGAAAATCTTGATTTTACCCAAAGCAAAGAAAATCCGATTTAACGGTTATTAATCAATTATAAAAAATTCGCTCGGCTACTTATTAAACGCGATGTTCGAAAATAAATAACATCCGTCGTCAAAATTCAAAACCCCAACAGATAGGAGGATGGATGAGGTTATTACAGATGGAGAAATACCCTACCCAATGACATAACAAAATAATTTTAAATTTATAATTATTGGATATGATTTTAATTAAAGGATCTCACTCGAGAAATAGGGATACACTTCAGACTGATATCCTAACGTGGAAACGATACGCTCAAGATTTGCCAAGGCTATTAAGATTAGAAGTTAAAAAAATATTGACAATTCCTGAAATCACGAGGATTTAGCCATTGCTGGAAGGCTTTTTTTTAGAATAAAGAATGAACGTGTTTGAAATCCAGCAAATGTAGATTCATTATATTTATTTTTGCATTTATAATTACATAATAATATCAATTTTTTTCCATAAATATTTTTTATTTGATCAAATAAATTATCCATAATTTAAAATTGAATATAAATTATAAAAAAAATTTTTTTGTAGAGGTGTAAATGCTGAAATTTTTTTTTTTTATAGATGATTAAAAAAAAAATTGAAAGAATGGGCTATTAATTAAATTTTACAATAGCGGTCTTGGGGTTAAAAATTTTTCTTTATAAATAATGGGTTAACGGGTAAAAATTTTAGAACTAAGCGTGAGGGTTAAATTTTTTTTTTTAAGATATTGGGCGAGCCTTTGGTCCAAAAAGCCCGCAATGCAGATATAGATATTAGTTTCTAAAAATATTGTAAATTTTTTTTTTTGGTAAAATTGTTCAATGTATACTGTAATTTTAGTTGGAAAAGGAGTAACAATTTGTACTTTAAGATGTACATGAAAAATATTTATATGTTTAAATAAAAGAGGAAACTATTAGGTCTTTATTTTAAAATAAAATTTTATTATAAAATATTTGGAAAAGAAAATTATTAAAAAGAAAAAGTCTAATCGATATAACCCTGGGCGAAATCGGGTTTTAAAATAATTAGAATTAAAAAAAATATATAATTCTATAATATTACGCACGCAAGATGGCGTTTATTGATAGCTAGTAATATTGATAAATTTAAAATTAATATATTATTCCACACACAACTAATAAACTTTGCATCGATTTTGAAAAAATTAATTATTACTACTTTAGTAATTTATTAATTACAAAAATCATTAAAATTTAGATATAATTAAATATAATAAATGAATTTATTATAACAATAATTTATAATAAAAACTACGTATAAATAAAAAATAATATTGGAATCATGGGATTTTAGATCCTTTACCGAGATTAAAAATTTTTTTTTAAATCCGATTCAGCCGGAAATGTATTTTTTAGCATCTGTAGAGTATTTTGCCCTTATAAAGGTTCAGCAAATTTCCGCTATAAACGTTTTGGTGAATTTTTTATTCAGGAAGTTCTAAAGTTCATGGTCAAATTGTTTGAAAATTTACAATCTTCAGAATTATTAAAATTTAAAAGATTCCGAATAGTGTTGTTAAGCGGCTCGTTTTGAGCCGATTTTTAAAAACGGCTAACTCACTATTTCATCCAGAATAATTTAACTCAAGCCTGAAGATTTTGTTTGTAGAAGGAACAAAGGTTTGGACATCTATTAGCGAAATCTCAAGGCTTAGGCTATATTTTTCAGGCTAAAATATTGAGTTAGCCGTTTTTAAAAATCGGCTCAAAATGAGCCGTTGTTTAACAACACTAATTCCGAATACCCGTGTATTTATTCCATATCCCAATGCGATCTATATATTCGGTGGTAAATATATTCGGACACCGGGATACATTTACTAAAAATTTTATAACCGAACCCGATACTGATATACAGGATTGTTACATTTGAATATTTATTATTGTAAGATAATATTTAAAGGTCACCCTATATTTGTATATTATATTATTCCGACATGTAATATTATATTATCGAGGTTAATCAAATTGCATATTATTAGAAGTTAAATTGGATAATTATATATATGTATATATACCATAAGAATTACAAATAAAAGTATTATAGTTTTTTTTAAAAAACTTAATCGATATAATAAGGATTCGCTAGCAGGAATTTTCAATTCAAGATGGAAGGGTGGGGAGAGGGGTTAACTGTTTTGGAATGGATTTTTTTTTTAACTCCAACCCTAGAGATTGGTTTTAGATAATTGGTTATTGGTTCTATCGGGGGATCGAACAAGAGAAAAATATATGTATCATAATAATGTGAATAAAGTTTATTTTTACATTTAATTATTGTATGTAAGAATAGATTGAATTTATAGAGTATAAGACAAAAATTTTATTGTATCGAAAAATACGTCAATTAAAAAAAAACTCAACAATCAATCAATAAGTTCATTTTTTATTTATTTTCCCTTCTCCATTCTCTTCATTATCAATTTTAATTATAAAAAAAAATTTCGCGATGGCAAATTGGAGCGAACAGTTCTTCCGTAAATCACGTGATTTCCCCTGTTAAAAGTTCTAAAATCAAAAATAACGCGGTAGAGGGCTTAATTAGACATAAAAACATGGGTAACCAAAGTAGCAAGGTAAGCCTCATTTTTATTTTTCTTATGAATAATTGGTTGGTAAATTTGAATAACTAAACCGTCACCCCTTTCTCCGCCCGCCATCTTGCCCCCTCCCCCCAACCAAAAAAACTTTATCTACCGGAAATTTAAATCATGATTGGCGGGCTCATTGGTTAGTTTTATTTTAAGGGAGAAATAATTCGCCCGAAAATAAAACCGTAATTATTCGTCTTCGAATAAAACGCGCTACGATATTCGAACCTACATCTCCATTCCATTAACATAGTTTATTCCAAAAATTAGCCTCTCCCATATAAACGCCGATTAGAACTCCGCTGATTTCATTTTATTAGCGTTAATTTTTAAAACCGAATTTGGCCGGATATTATTCGGACCGACCTGAGACCGGTTTTGGGTTGGCTTGCACGGCCTCACGTCAGATTGAAATTTTTATAAGCAAAATGTTAAACGTAACCTAGGATACATCCAAAGAGGATGGCCCAAATTACAATTACGATGGCGACGATGATTTTAAAGGAAATTATTCAGAGGCGGCTAGCGCGGGGAACGGGAAGTCGAGTTGGTCCGACAAATTATCGCTGGTGGCCTCGGGCAAGGCGAGACGGGAAAAGAAATTGAAGGAATGGATGGAACACGCCAGAGCGGACTTTGAGATCAAATGGGAAGCCTATTCCCAGGGCGGACCTGGCAGTCAAAGGCGATTGTCTTACATGAAGTACAGCAGTAACGTTACAGCGCTGGTGGATGAGCATTACAATAAAGTGGAATCAGGAGGGGGTTCAAAAGGGTTACATGTTTCCGTGGGTACATTTGAGATAAATTTGCCTTTATAAAAAAAAACAATCTCTCCTGGAACGCCCATATTTCTAATTAGGAAAGGGTTTATCAAACCAGTGAGAAGATATTAGAAAAATTTTAGAAAAGGGTGTTAGGTCCGTTCTTTGCAAATGGTCTTCGATTAGGACCGTTAAATTTTTTTTAAATGCCAAATATTTTATATATTTTTTAAACATTAATAATTAATGGGTTGGCAATTCTTTTTTTTTTAATTTTATTTTTTTGTTGTCTAAATAGAAATTGAAATGGTTAAAATATTTTCCTAAATATTAATAGTCACCTTATCCTTATTTATTTATCTTGATTCTAGACCCCATGAGGTCGCTTGCCTCTACTATTTAAAATTCCTACAAAATGACCACCAAAATGTTCACTTAATGGAACAAATGTGCACTTTTAAAAAAACAACCAAAGGAAAATGAGCAAAAAAGTTATGACAAAATATTTAATAGTTCCTGATTCATTTGTGATCCCAGGACTGAATATAGGTGTTTTAAGATTTTAGCTTATCGGGTTTTTAACTTAAATGTCGGTGCGCTTTGGACCAGTTTTTTTGACCTTCACTGTATAGGACCTTAGGTGAGAGAGAAATCGATAAAATTTGAATAACTAAACTTTTCTGAAACCCGGAAAAATAAATAATTGATTGTCACCATGTCAGTTAACCGTTCGCCTCTTAGAAGCCCCAAGTAGCGTCATTTGGCGGTTTTTGTCATTTTATTTATGTATTAGAGATAACTTTTGCGATTTCCCATAAATACATCTTCGAATTTCGTAACTTTACAATTTAGAACCACCAAAATAGATATTTCTACCTATAAAAACCAGTGCCATCATTTGGCGGGAAAAGCCACTTTGGTTCAAATTTGTTTATAAATAAAAAAAATAAACGCCAAATTATTCATTTTTTTTTATAAAAAAATGAATTCCTCTGCAATATAAAATATTTTGGACAAATAAATTCTTCTTTTTTTTTATAATTTCCCTATAAAAATAAATTTCTTTTAGAAACGACAAGATATGTACAAAATGTATAATCGCTTCCGATTAATCGCGGAGATAATATACGCACTCAAAATTAAGAAAGGCGATTTATATTTCATTGAATATATATGTCTCACCGAGGCAGATAAATTTTCTTAATTCAGAACCGGGATAAGTATCCCGCGACTTTTTTCAGTTACTTTGAGGTATTCTTCCTTAATAGTTCACTAAATATCCCGAGTACAGATTAATCAATATCCGCATTTGTATTATTTAGATCGAACGAGATTATCTTCAACAGATGTCTGCAAGTCGGAGTAAATAAATAAAATTAAATTTATAAATCTAGGCTTAGGATATACAAAAAATAATTATGAACAACAAATCTCTCGGGAAGGGAAAATTTAGGCAAATTTTGTTAGAAAAAAAAAACTCTAATCCAAATATCGCGATTCGATTGGTGCAAAAGAGAGCAATAATCAATTATAATGTAGTAGAGGTCTAGGTAACAAAAAGTCGACATTAATAAAATGATGCGAATGTACAGAAATGCTACAAAGTGAAAAACGCGAAATAAAAAACGTGTCCAAAATATATGGAAACCTATATTTTTTTAAATTCAATAAAAAATATAAATTTTCATAATAAGTGTTCCGTCAATTGACGATTTTTGGTGGTCTCGGGTTAGGGCAAAAATCTTAGCGCTTCCAAGTGGAAAGAAGAGCGAAGTGAGGGTTAAAACATTTTATTATTACCAATTTTTTTTATAATAGTGAAATTGGCAGATTTCGACCTGATCCGTACCCTGGGAGAAGGCTCATTTGGTAGGGTAGTTTTAGGTAGGTATCGGGATCCCAACAGGTACCTCGCCATAAAGATCCAAAACAAGGTGAAGATAGCGAGGATGAAGCAAGCCAAAAGTGTCCTGAACGAGAAGAAGGTTCTTCATTGCATGGGAGATTTCCCTTTCGTGGTCAAACTGTTTTACAGTTTCAAGGATAATTCGTACCTCTACCTGGTGATGGAATACGTGGCGGGCGGGGAACTTTTCACGCACCTCAGGAGGAGCGGTCATTTCAAAGAAGAAATGGCGGCCTTTTACGGGGCGCAGGTTGCGATATTTCTATCCGCCATATTTCTTTTAAAAATTATGTCAATTTTAATATATTTTCATGAATGATGATGCAGTTCCATCCTCCAAAAATGATAAAAAATATCCTCTCCTATCCTTTTTTTTACGATAGTTTTTTTTTCTTTTGCATAAAATATAATATATATTTAAGATGCTATATGAATATTATATTTTCCTTTCCTCCTCCGCTTCCAAAGGTTATCTTAGCACTAGAATACTTGCACAGCGTCGATATAATCTATCGCGACATAAAACCGGAAAACATCTTACTGGATCCCACTAACGGTTACTTAAAGGTCTGTTACCATTTTAAAATCTAGAAAAATAAGAAATATTCTTTCCGAATCGGTTTCATACCTATAAATACTAATATTAAAAACCATCATTTAAAAAGCTCACTGATTTTGGATTCGTTACTAGAATAGGCGTCGGTCGGCGCATGCGCACGTACACTTTTTGCGGAACGCCGGACTACATGGCCCCCGAGATAGTGAGCAACAAAGGTTACGGCAAAGGGGCGGACTGGTGGGCATTAGGGGTGTTAATATATGAAATGTGTGCTGGGTACGCTCCGTTCACGGGCCCGGCCCGACCGGCAAATAATGTAAAAAAACGTATCTTAATTATTTAAGTATGCTCGCAATATATGAGTTAAAATGTTAGTTGACACCTTTCAATCTGGGATAATTAATTTTTTTTTACATTAGACTCCTTAAGATAAACAGGTATACAGGATTATAATCCATCATGAGGTGGGTGTGAAGAGGGGGGGTGGTAAATATTTCAAGAAACATCCTAAAATGGCAGGGGTGTAAATTGGATAACAAGCATAAACAATGAGGATGGGCAAAAAAAATTTAAAAGGAGGGGGGGCTAAAAATAACAACGCTAGCAACGAGAGCGGAAATAGATGTAAAGAAGAAAGGACTAAAGCTAACAAGGAATGACGGGTAAAAGCGGGTGATAAGAAAGATTCAATTTGACAAGAAGGGCGGAAATAGTGTTAAAAAGGACTAAGAATAACTAGGACTGGCAGGTAAAAGATATAAGAGGGGGATTTGTTTAATGGATAAGACTCGTGGCAATGGGAGAGAACTAAGAATAGGTAAGATTGGCAGGTAAACGTCAACGAAAAGGGGGGGGGTAATTAATTTAGCGGTTATTTAAAAAAAAAAAAATGGTAACTCATGTTGACAACAAGAGCGAAAATTGACATGTAAAGGACATACTAATAGAGATAAAAAGTTGGTGAAGAGAGGAGGATTGGTGATTATTTTAAAATAAAATGCGAGGCAGAGATATGGCACATGATCTGATTTCCTCATAGCTTAGGTAATCCCTTCATTCATTTTAAAAAAGGCGACACTAGTCGAAATATCTATGAGTGAAGAAATGGACGAAATTAAGTCATCAAGGGAAGTTTTTCTCTTCAAACTGTCATCCAAACATATGTTTTGTTCATTAGCAACTTACTCATATTTACAAATATTTTCGATTCAAAATAAAAATATTATGAGGTCGAGCCCCAGACGGATTTATTCAAGGCCATCACGAGTGGGCAATATTCTCCATTTCCGTCCCACTTTTCGACGCATCTAAAGGACCTGCTCACGAATTTACTAAGGCTGGAGGTGGTGAGGCGTTACGGTTCGCTGAGCCGAGGAGTTGGGGATATAATGTGTCACGGGTGGTTTGAGGGTACCGGCAAGCCTGGCCCAGCCCTTAAACGCAGCTGGAACGCCATTTGGAGTAGGAGGGCCAAAGCCGATTTCATACCCAAGTCAAAAGGGGCGGGTGACACGTCACAATTTGACCCGTCACTGCGAGAAATCCCCCTAGAGATATCGGACAGGAATGAGTGCAGTGACCTTTTTGCCGAGTTTTGAAGGAAAAAAAGGAGAATATAATCACCAACCAAATGTAAAAGAGAGGAAAGTCACATGGTAGAAAAGAGCCATTAATAAAAAATTCATATGAAAAAGAAGATCAATCATAATTTTTGTAATTAAAGTCTTTTTTTTTGTAACTTATAATGAGTTTTTATTGAAAATACAAACAATTGAAGTAAAGTAATATATGTTTATATACTATATATCTTGATGATATATATACCTAAATTAAATTATACAAATGAGAATTTTTTTTGTATATAATTCGATGAAAAATAACTTAATATTTATGTTTTAAAGTAAATTTTTATTAAAAAATTAATGTTTTAATTTGATTCAATTTTCATAAAAGGTTCATATCATATAGAATTTCACAAACTTCATGTTAAATAACTGAATTTTAAATATATAATATCTAGATAGGGATTGCCCACCAGAATTTTTCACCAAACAACCATATGTCCAAAAACCAATCCAATAGTCAATCTGACTTATTTATGAACTAGAACCAATCAAAATAACTGTAAATTAGGCATATTCAATAAACAAACACAAATAGTATATTAATCGTATTTGATACGTCTAAACGAATCAAATAATTTACTGTTTGTATTCAATTCGGATTATTCGAATAATTCGTTTTTAAATTTCGTTTTTTATTGTGCATCTAAATTTTAAGCATCTGATCATAAACGATAAGAACGTGTTATCAATTAACAGGATGCAAATGCATATGCAAAACTAATTTGTCATATGGTAAATGTTCTTATTAAGATTATAGAAATCTCTAGATTTGTCGGATAGAGAACCTAGCCTTTCTGCCATATATGCAGTGTTGTTAAACGGCTCGTTTTGAGCAAATTAAATTCAGTGTAGTTTAAAACGACCCAATATGGGTCCGATTCTAAAAAAGGCTCAATTAGATTTTAGTCAGAATAATATTATGCAAGCCTAGAGATTTTGCTCATATATGTATTGTTGTTAAACGGCTCGTTTTGAGCCGATTTTTAAAAACGGCTGACTCAATATTTTAGCCAAAAAATATTGCCTAAGCTTCGAGATTTCGATAATATATGTCTAGACCTTTGTTCCTTCTATGAGCAAAATCTTCAGGTTTGCATAACATTTTTCTGGCTAAAATATTGTGTTAGCTGTTTTTAAAAATCGGCTCAAAACGAGCCGTTTAACAACAATACATATATGAGCAAAATCTCTAGGCTTGCATAATATTATTCTGACTAAAATCATAATTGGGCCTTTTTTAGAATCGGACCCATATTGGGTCGCTTTAAACTAGCACTGAATTTAGATTTGTAATGTCAAGCAAATTTTGTTGAGGCAAAGGGTGTTTTTTTCTTACTGATCCCTCTTTGTGCAATGTTTTGATAAAAGAATTATTTTAATAAGAAAAGTCTTTCAGCAGTAAAGATCAAAAAATTTTGAAAATTTGAAATATTTAAATTAACATATGATTCAAATTGAATAACTCTTAATTCAAACAAAATGAATAATTCACTACTTATATGCATTTATTATTCACATTCATTATTATTTGATCTAAATTATATTGGAAACAATTTAATTAGTGTTAAACGGTTCGATTTTTAAAAACAGTCAACTCAATATTTTGACCAAAAAATATTATGCAAGTGTGGAGATGTAGCTCTTAGATGGCAGAAAGGTTTGGACATCTATTAACAAAATCTCAAGGTTTGCAGTAACATTTTTTTGGGGGTAAAATTTTGAGATTAGTTGTTTTTAAAAATCGAGCTGTTTAATAATACTAAAATCACCATTTAACCCAAATTATTTGAAATAGTTCATTTTTGAATAAGCTACTATAAATTAAGGGCAAGATTTCCTTTTCTCATGAAACGGCATGATGCATCATAACTGATGATAATTTATGGTTGCTTAGAACAATTTGTAACCTTATTTTAGATATGCCATGTTTACCTTGAATTTACAGTGGCCCATTTGCGATCACGATTTAAAAGCTGACAGTTTTATATAATCTGTTTGTAAGATCATTTTATCTTTATCAAAATCGTTATTTCCTAGATTATTATTATGTTAATTAAAGATAAAATTAATATTAATAAATGAAAATCTATCTCATTAACAGATTTTAAAAGTTGATCAACTATTAAATCGCCATTACAATCACAGTACTATGAATTTAAGCTGAAGCTGATGACTAGTTGAATATTTTAAATTTCTTTTCTAGTTGCAAATATTATAAGAAACAATCATCATATTTTTAGTTATATTTTCTTATAAAATATTTTGATATTTTTAAAGTTTTATAAATAAATCAAATATAATTATTTACACAATCATAAAAAAGCCTAAAACAATTAAAATATTTGATAAGACAAGTATTTTAAAACTATCACTTAATTTGATTTTTTTTAAAAGAATAGATATGAACCCTGATTAAACCTTTATCAATGGCAGTCATAAATCTAAATGTTAGCCTTTAGGAGTTAAGAGTTTACCAACCCAAATCACCCACAGTAAAATAATTTCAAAATGAAGATATATAAAAATATCCATATTGTAAAATATTATATATTGGCAACTTTTTAAAACATTCAAATTAATACATCAAGCTAATAATTTGAATGGAAATAAATGTAATCAACAAATTTATTTTATATTTGATAAATATAATACTTAGAATAAAAAATTGAAATATTTGTGATTAATAAATAAATATTTAAATTATATTTACTTCATTGAACCCATTATACTGCTCACAGAATGGGCATTCCCATGAATTTTTAAATTCTTTTAACACAAAATGTACTTTGGAACAAAACCAACATTGCACTTTTTTCAAAGGATTTCTTTGGATAATAATTTTATATATAAAATATATGTATATTTAAAACCTCTTATATTGTAAAGTTTTGAATAATGTAATCAAAATAATTATTGGAATAAATATAAAAATAATAAAAAATATAAGATTGTCCATAAATTTTGAAATTTAAATACCGAACTGATAAAGGTAATTTTTAAGATTTAATTTAGCCTATATATGGTCGTAAATATTTTTACAAGATGGGAGGTTAATTTTAATAAAAAATATAAGCCTGAAATAAATATGAAATATATTTTTATTAGTTTATATAAAATATAATAAATTACTTTTTTCTTTTTTTTCTTTTTTTTCTTTTTTTTTCTTTTAAATATCCTTTATTGACAAATATATAATATTTATTCAATTATTCTATAAAATGTATGATATAATAACGATCAATATAATAGTAAATTTCATTAATATGTCAATTTAAAAAATAATCACATTTGTTAGTATATTTTTTAAGGATAAATAATAATATATTTAAATAATATAAATAAATATATAGTAAATTAATATAATAAATTGAGCAAATGATTTAAAAGAATTATGAGTTTTCATAGTTTGCCCTTCAGTTTTTCTTCTTCCATCTGAATATTCCTCTCTTGTTCTTAATTGCTTTTCTCATCGCCGATTCTGTGATTAGGGTTTGGTTCTTTTGTTGACTTCCATCTGAATATCCCTCTCTTGTTCTTAATTGCTTTTCTCATCGCCAATTCTGTGATTAGGGGGTATCAGTCATTGAGAATATGAAGCTGAGGTAATTGGATTTTATTATATTGAGGGCTAATCTTTGGCGTAGGTAGTAACCCTCGTTGGGATCTTCGGTTCTAATAGAGATCCGTTTCCCCAGCTCTTTAAAGAAGGTAAGGGCGTGAAAGCCGAACGATAGAGTCGGGGCGATTAGTGGTAGGAATGTGTAATTGGCCGGAAGCGATGGCGAATATTTAGCGAGTTTATTTATCTCGGCGTCTACTAGAGCATCTCTATTTATATTGGAAGGGGCAAGGGGATCGATGCATGAGAAATTCCAGGTTAGGAATTCCCTTCTCTTCCAAGGGATCAGGGTAGAGCCATCGACGCTTACCATCAGAATTGTAGAGTCCAGTAGGTTCGAGGGTTGATGGGATAACGGCAGATTTTAGGGCCCTGGCAATAGTATTGCATTTTGAATGTCTAATGAATCTGCCTCTACAGCGCTTGCAGTGTAAAGAGTGACGGCCTTTGGAGTTGACCGGCGTTTAAGGATGCAGTGATAGGGTATTACCATATCACAATTAAGTCTTAGACCGATGGCGTGACGTAGCTCATCATTGCTTAGGAGCTGGTCAAGGTTTCGCGATGGAAAAGCTTCGAGAAATTCATACCCGCTGTCTGCGGAAATGGAGAAGGGTAGAGAATGGTCCTCGGGTTGGCTCCTCGATTTAAGGTATGCAACGGAGTTGCCAACTAGAGGCTTATCCCAGTCCTTCTGCAGTGCCGATGAGGGAGGATCGACTAAAGAAAGAGATTTCCATAGATCAATTGCCTGGGGAAGTAAAGGGTCAGGATGTTTTGTGAGTGCGTGTATGATGGGCTCGCAGGACAGGCGAGAGGATATGAACGCACTAACAGAGAGTAGGGAAGGCGATCGTATGCCAATGCCGCCGGATTTGGTTGGCAAGGTGGCTTGTAGCCAAGATAGGTCTCCGAATTTGAGATTGAGTATATCCTCTGTGAGGTGTTTAATCTCTAGCTCGTGTGCAGCGAGGTTGACGTCGTATTGGAAGATACGTGACGATCGGAGTGTATATAGAATTTTTGGGATTAGGAGGTATTTCTTTAATAGAAAGAACGCTTGGTGGGCTGGGAGGCGAGATAGTGTACCGCGCATAAGGGATATCTCTAGTAGATTGTCGGCGAAGAACTTGACAAAGGACTCGTCTTTACCCACTGGAGATCCAAGATGTGTTAAGAAGTTCAATGGTGTATGATTGCACGAAGGATCATAGTTAAGGTCGATGATTCCAAGAGGACAATATTCGCTCTTGTCTTGATTGATTCGCAGTCCCAAACTGCTCTCGCTGGATTTTATTATTTCGACCGCCTTCATAACTTCGCTGGGTGAGCCGCCTAGTATACCATCGTCGATATACCAGTTATGAAGGTTTAGTTTACATTGGTCATTTATGCCTTGTATTAGGCTATTAATGCCCAGACAGAATAAAAAGGAGCCTAGAGGGTCACCTTGTTGTATTCCACTACTAGAAGGAATCAATCTATCTCCAAATTGAAGATGCGATGGACTAGCATAACAATCGAAGATGAATTGCGAGTATTATGGGTAAAGGGTAAGGATAAGATTAAGAAACGCTGAACGTTTTAGAGAGTTAAAAGCGTTTGAAAAATCTATTTTAATTAGGATATCGTCACTGGCGTCTGTTTGTAGATACATTCTGGTCATGTGTAGGGATACCTCACATCCCCCTTTTACGTTGACTCCTAATTGATTAGGGCACAGGTGATTGGATACTGTGAACAATATTCTGCTCACTACTAGCTTAGCGGTTAATCGGCGCCAAGTGGTCCCAATAGCGATAGGGCGAATATCTTTATTAGGTTTATGAAGGGCGATGAGTTTAGCTTTATAAAGGAGTGGAATAATGGCGGGTGGTAAGCCTCCAACAAGCATACGGTTGATGAGTTGAGTAATTTTTTCCAAAACGTCGCATTGTTGTGTGATGTAAGGTGCGGTTAGATCCTGTAGGAATATTGGGCCAAACCCATCAACCCCCGGTGAAGAATCGCGTTTGAAGGAGAGAATAGCCTTTCTAACCTCGCTTGAGGTAAAAGTGGTTGCAATTAGAGGAGCTTCGGGGTAAGACGGTATTTCGTCCTTAAGATCGTGTGGGTGGTGTTTTAGGAGAAGAGCTTGGTAAGTTGTTTGATCATAGGGAGCTAGCTTATTGTCAGATGTTGCCAGTCGTATGGCGGATTTAACATTCAGGTTATCCAGCTTTTTAGATATAAGCTTGGCCTTGGTGAGTAGGTCATTTTTGTGATTTTTATTTTTATCGGTGTCATCACCTTTAAAAGATGTGGAAAAGTGACTGATGGGTAAGGGGTAGATAGTAGCATCCTTGATTTGCTGTGTCATAGATTTTTTGCTGGCAGGATCAGGAACTTGCAGCGTAGTAAAGGCAAATGACAGGGTGTCTAGCCAGTGTTTTATGGAAGAATAATTATTTATCAAGGAAGTCAAGTTCTTTGAGAGGTGTCTGGCAACTTGAAGTCTTGCTCTTTTAGGTATTCGAGAAATCACAAATGGTTTTGGTGTGACTAAAAATATTTCTACATCTGTGGAGTCGGTTGGATTGAAAGTGAGAGCATTTTCGGCGGTTGAGGTGGGGACTATTGGGCTAGTAGGCACATCAGTCAACGTGGGAATGGTAACTATAGGTTGTGCGAGGGCAAGGGCAGAAAAGGCATTTAGGTTTCGAGGGATAGCTGGTGATAAGAGCCCAGATTGAGGACATTTTATCCTCTGGTTTCGATGAGATGGCAATAGCCCCAATTTGGTTACTTTATCAAGTTTATTACATAAAGGGCAGTTAGATTTGGTAGAAGCTGTGCTGAGGTCTGGTAAGCTCATGAATTAAAATTTTTTTATCAGTTTAAGAGTGAAAATGTTGGATATTATTTTTATCTTCAAATATGGGTTTCTTGTGGGTTGGTATATTAAGGAAGTTTAATGAGTTATTTTTTTGATTTTTGATATTTATTCAATATTTGAGGTTTGATTGTGGAAGATGATTTATTCATAGTATAATTATGTGCAAGAGATCATATAGAAATCCCACTTTCAATATCATTTAATTTTTGTATTTATTTGAATTCATATTAATTGCAGTCTAGCTTGTAATATTTAGTTCATGAAGGGGTTTTTGCAAAGATGATTTACTCATAGTATAATTATGTACAAGTGATCATATAGAAATCCCACTCAATATCATTTTCTGGATAAATATTTGGTGAAATATTTTTAACTGAATAAATGTTTGGCAATTTTTGATAAGGTTTATTCAATATTTGAGGTTTGATTATGGAAGATGATTTATTAATAGTATAATTATGTGCAAGTGATCATATAGAAATCCCACTTTCAATATCATTTAATTTTTGTATTTATTTGAATTCATATTAGTTTGCAGTCCTTGTAATATTTAGTTCATGAAGGGGCTTTTGCAAAGATGATTTACTCATAGTATAATTATGTACAAGTGATCATATAGAAATCCCACTTTCAATATCATTTTCTGGATAAATATTTGGTGAAATATTATTAACTGAATAAATGTTTGGCAATTTTTGATAAGATTTATTCAATATTTGAGGTTTGATTATGGAAGATGATTTATTCATAGTATAATTATGTGCAAGTGAACATATAGAAATCCCACTTTCAATATCATTTAATTTTTGAATTCATATTAGTTTGCAGTCTAGCTTGTAATATTTAGTTCATGAAGGGGTTTGCAATAGTATATTTCCATCTGTAAAATCGTTTCCACAAGAGATAATTGCAAGTTAGCACCATTCAATTTTAATTGAAAAGAATTTAATAAGGCTTGAAAAAAAAATGTCAGACGATAGCATAGTGCTGCCCTTAGAAATTTAGTTTGCATACGCATTTGCAATTCAATTTTTGACTCAACTCAACATTTTATTTCTTTATTTCTTCATAGAATTTTATGTAAATATTTATAAAACATTAAGGTGGTTTTTATTAATATTATTAAGTATTGTTTATAAATTTTTAAATGTGGTTTATTTATATACATTAATATAAAAGCATGGTAGTAATTTATTCCAAACAGGTATATAAGAAATTATTTATAAAAAGTAAGTAGATATATATAGTTGATATTCCTCTATTATATAGAATTAATTATAAAATATTAGGTAAAATTCTACTTTTACAGACATATTTGACAGTTAGAGAATATATTACACTTAATAATTTAACAAATTTAACTAATCAATGCTCTTGATAATATATATAGCAACAATTTGAATTTAATTATCTACCGACACCTATTTTTTTTAAATTAATCTTCATTGTCCTTATCAATATTTTATAGTT